CAGATGAAACCCCAAATTTAATAAGGCTAAGACAACTGGGGCCATGTAAGAAACCTAACAGGATATTGCAAAGAGATTAGGGAGCTTCCTCCGGATGGCATGGACTGGCCTTGCAGAGGGCAGGGTGGGGGCAGGGGCGGTGGGTCCTGGGGTGGGACTGGCCTGAGGACAGAGCTGCCCAGGCAGAGGGGAGCCTGGCTCCTCTTGGCCCTTCGAGGCACTGCCTGGTGGAGGAGCTGAGGCTCGCAGGCTAAATTTAAACCAGCTGCATGGATGGGAGTGTTACAGTTGAATGGGGCGGGGGAGGCTTACCTCATGAAAGAACTGTGGAAACGGCGGCTGGAAAGATAATAAAAGGATTAACTGCTATTTTAGTGGGCCATTTACTCTTCAATCAAAATGTCTCATCTATTTCCTGTTCTCCAGAGGCTCTGGGTCCAAAATTCCTTTGTCTATTACAGCACTTGGTAGCAGAGGGCTGTCATAAGAAATTAATAATTTAACAGGAAAGGGAGATTTTGTTTATCTGGGTGTGGGCTGTGGCCAGCCCCTTCCCCTGGGTTACCTACTGCTCCTGTGTCATTAGCAGGGGAGCCTCCCATCATTGGGGTGGGAAAGGAGGATTGGGGAGGAAGTGCAGGAAAGACTTCCCACCAGGTGAGTCCTCTGTTACAGGTTTCCCAAAGGTGCCCCCATCAGGTCCAGCCCTCAGACCCCCACCCCCGAAATAATCAATTTAAAGGAGAAGGATCTAGCCCAACAAGAGCATTACAGCTTAGAAAGAGATGGATTTATATTCTACTCCGCTGCTTCTGAGTTCTATCACCTTCCGCAAGTTATTTTTATCCTTGTTACTGTGATTTTAGGAGCTCTGGTGGCAAGAAGGTACGCTGCAATCGTGAAGGCACACGGTTCAAAGAAACCAGCTGCTCTGCGGAAGAAGGATGGGCAATCTCCTCCCGTGGGTTTAACTGCCTCTGAAAACCCTCTGAAGGGTCAGCTATGGGTCAGTTCTGACTCTGTGGTACACAACACATGCACACACACACACACACACACACACACACACACACACACTGATTTTACTGCTGTTACTCTAATCCACAAGGTGACAGAACTGCAACAATGGACTTAAGCAGATCAAGAGATATGTATATGTTGCAGGACAGGACAAGTTGTTCTTAGGGTGTTGTTCATAGGGTGGCTATGAGTCCTAGTCGGTATAACAAGTTTACTCTTATGGTTATTGACCTCAAACCAGGGTGGGAATTCAAGTTTTCAGCAGGGGTTGAATAGCTTCATTTTTGCCTAAAACTCTTACTATTATTATTGCTTGCTATTGTTTTATTTTATCCAAATGTGTGACTGAGGGCAAATTATTCAGAGTCTCTAAGATTCAATTTCCTCCTAACAATAGGATCTATTGTATTTTTTGAGAACCACATGGAGTTATGGCTAAAGATGGCACTCAGAAGCTGACTGCTGGTAGTATCATGACCTAATCCCCAAATCCAAATTATTGAGGAGCAATGATGTTAGTTTGAGGATTAAGGTGTGTCTGATTCAGGCCATCATCTTTTCAGTGACTTGCAATGCTTCTCAGAGCTGGAAAATAAATAAGGATGGCAGAAGAAGAACTGATGCCTTTGAACTGTGGGTTGGAGAAAAGTAGAGAATATATCCCATGAACTGCTAAAAGAACAAATAGATAAGTCTTGGAGAAGATGCATTCAGAGTATTCCTCAGAGACAAAGATGACAAAGCTTTGTTTCATATACTTTAGGCATGTTATTAGGAGAGACTAGTCCTTGTAGAAGGACATCCTGTTTGGAAAGGTGGGAAGACAGCAAAGGAAAGGAAGACCCTCAACCAGGTGGACAGACACAGAAATTGCAGCAAAGAGCCTGAGTGAGACCAGAGATTGAGGATGGCACAGGACAGGATTGGGTTCAGAACTGTTCACAAGGGTTGCTATGAGTCTTCCTCAACTTTAGGGCACTTAACAACAATAATCCCGAAGTCCAGAAGGGAAAAAATGAAGTGTTCTTGGAGTAACACGTTTGAAGTCCAGTCAGACTACACCAAACTTTATTTTTTAAAAATATTTGGTTTTACAGGATGCCTGTAAAGCTTAGACACAATAAAGAGTGAGTATAGGCATGGTTGGGATATCACTTCCTCCATGACGCCCTCTTGGTCTTCCCTCTCAGACCTGTGCATCCCAGACCCTGTCACTGATTTCCAAGCCCATCTCTAGCCATGAGGACAAGGACATTAGCTCATGCAGCTCAGTTCTTACTGCCACACACAAGCTGTGTGTAGAGTTTGCTAGGTGGAATGACACCCTGGCCGACTGTCTGAGGAGGGGAAAAACCTCAGAGAGACATTATGAAATCTCACTGAATAGCCTTGGCTTACACACTGCCCCTCCATAATCTAGATCATAAGATAGGTGGGAATGTTAGAGCCAGAATCAGGCAAAGTCAGACAGAACCGAGGAGGGGTGGGGTAGAGGGAATGTTGAGACAAAAACCAATGAGGTGGGGAGGCAGAAGCTCATGAATGGCAAACCGTAGAGTCATGAAAACCAAGAAACAGACAACATTAGACATAGTGCCTCTGTCCTGATATGTCCAGGAAAGGTCCCTCCTCCAAGCATACTAATTAATGTTTTAGGCACATGAGGGACATCAAGAACAATGGACTAAAACTACCCACCAAATCATCCAGATGCAGGAGTGACCTCAAGAACACTGGAACAGAATGCCCAGTCCATGACATCATCCCATTGACCCAGACTCAAGCCCAGAAACACTTCAAAATGCGGTGTCAGCCAGTGACATCAATGTACAATTCATGTAACCCAACGTTTTCCTCCATTTCTTTACTTCCAGAGACTGACTGGTCTCAGAGAATCTCTGAGACGTACCTTTTCTAATAAACTATTTTTGCTTTTCCCTTCACTCCTGTCTCCTCACCTTTCCTCTCAACTGTGTGTCTAGCCAAGTGCTTGGCCCACGCTGGGATTCTTTTGAGCAGGACATATCCTGGCTAAAATCACAGTTCATCTGCAGTCGATCCTCCATTGTCTCCTGTCTGGTTCAATTCTTTGTCAGGGCAAGGATGATCAAACCAGGACATTCCCCTCATGGTAATAAGAAGACTAAGATCAATACCCAAGCAGGGATGGTGAAAACATGTGAAACTGTTCACTACGGGTTTGTAAGTAAGTGCACATTCACCCTGCTTACTAGGTATTCTGGCCCTACCAGGGATTATCAATTTGAAAGGGGCTCTGAATCTGTATGAAGGTAGAGTGGGGTTGAGAGAGAAGTAGATGCCAGCTATACATGAAAGTAGAATCATCAATGTGGAAAAATGTGAAATTGTTCACCACAGATTAGTAAATAAATGTATGCTTATATTGCTAACTGGGGAATCCAATACCATGTCCAAGGTCCCTAATGCCCAATACAGGTATTCTCGAGTGCTCACAGAAGGCCCCTTGTGAGAAGTCCCCTGACAACACACACCTCTGCCTCAGCCGCAGAGCCCCCAAGGAGGGCAGGAATGGAGAGCTGTAGTTCAGCGTTTTTTGGTTCCAGGGACTCAGGAAGACAAGGACACTGTCTCTTGGTCATCTTTTTCCATGGAAAGGTCTGCCTTTCAGCAAGCCACAGATCACAAAACCCAACAAACTTGACAACCACAGGTACCAGTCCAGCATCAGCTCTCCCTCAAGCATACCCTCGGCCCAAAGGCAGATGCTAACGTCCAAAACTCAGTGCTCCAGCTACAGGCACCCTCCCACTCCCACTGCTGTGCACTGGTGGTTCACTTCTGTCTATAAAGGGAGCTCCTGCTCAGCCATCAAGACACAGCATCCCTGAAGCAGAATAAGCTCAACCAGATGAAGGCTCAGCTCACAGTCCCACAAGCAAAAAGGGCCCAAGGACAAACACCTGGCTGGCCAGAGGATGATCATTTTTAGGCCACTGGCCACCAATGCGTCCTGCCTCCTATTTGGACCTTGTGACTGCCTTTGGCTCTGCATAGGCTTACTCCCACTATGTGTCTGTCCCTCTGCACCTTGGGGCTGAGCAATGACTTCAGAGTGGGTGAGTCCAGCAACAGTGGCAGTATGCAAATGTGGGAGACTTCAACCTTGATTAGGACGCTGGCTCCTTTAGAACAGGCTTACCCTTCCTCGGCCTCACCAATGCCCCAAGAGCTGGTGGCCCATGTGCCTCGACTGTACAGACTGCCCCAGAAGCTCAGCCCTTCCACTGCCAGGCAGGTGCCTCCCCTTGTCAGCTGGATGGACTACAGAGGTGGGCACAGCAGCTAGGTGAAAGCTATCAGGAGCTAATATTATGTCCCCTGCTTCTGATATAGATGTCTATCAAAGTGAACACAGAGCTGACCAGTCAGAAGTCCAAGTGTCTAGAGTTACTGTGTGTGTTTGTGTCTATCTCTGGACACACAGTCAGAACACTTATGGGCCTTACTTGCTCACCCTAATCCTGCCCTGTGGGGGCCCCACAGCTCTCAGGCCAGAGGTTTGTGAGGACCCCGTGCTCAGGTGGATGCCAAGCCTGTTGGTAGGCTGTTCCTTGGGGAGGGTGCTGGGGAAGACCCAGTGCAGGAGAGCGTGCTCCCCACGCATCATGTGGCCACTGGTGGCTGGGACAGGGAGCATGTGCATGTAGCATGCACACGCCCTCAGAGCACACGTCACCACCGGCTAGCATGTATGACATCACATGTGTGGTATACAAAAGCACGTCTAATGCCTCCAGGAGGGGCTTGGGGCACAAGGAGAGCATCCTTATTGCCAAAGTGCCCACAAGAGGCCTCTGACCAGTAGCTGTGTCCATGAGCACTGGTTTCTTCCTCCTCAGCCAGCCCCCAGCTAAGCAGTGTCTTTTGACCTCTCCCAGGGTGGTGAGGGACAGGTGCTGGCCTGCCGGGGTGTGGCCTGCCTGCTGGTGGGAACTCACCATGCACTTGTTGGGCTTCTCGCCAGAATGAACCCTCATGTGGATGAGCAGCTTGTAGCGGGCGTTGAAGGGCTTGTAGCGCCTCACGCAGCCGTCCCAGAAGCAGGTGAAGTCCTCGCCCTTGCGCTGGTCGATGTGGCTCTTCTCAATGTGCCGCACCAGCTCCTCCTGCTGCTCATAGGCAGCGCAGCAGTCCACCCAGCGGCAGGCCTGCTTCCCCACCACGACCCTGCCCACCAGGCCTCCAAGCCCTGGGCGGGGAGGCAACTGAGACAGGGGGTAAGGGGGTGGCAGGCCCTGCTGGTGAGGCCCGAAGAGCTCAGAGAACTCGTCCATAGGCTCCTGCTTCAGGAAGCCCCCCTTCTGGCAAGCTTCGAGTTCCAAGCCGCCCTCATGGCTTTCACTGACTACCGGGCCAGGCCTGACCCGCCTGGGTGGGCTCCCCAGGTCTCCTGGCAGAGGGGGGCTCCGGAGTCCATTCACACAGGTGGCCAGAGGTGCCTGGGAGGAGCGGATGATGGAGGTGAGGCTGAGGCTGTCGGAGGAGGCACAGGGCGAAGAGGAGGCCGAGGAGGTGGTAGGCAGGCCCAAGAGGCAGCAGCGCTTCAGGCTGCCCTCAGGAAGATGTGCCTCAGGTGGGGGGCCCAGACCAGAGCTGGGCTCACTGTCCAAAAGGTAGCAGGAAGGTACAGGGTTGGAGAGGCCTCGGCCCGAGAGGTCCAGGTCTGGGTGCAGGCTGGTGACTGACGGGGCCCGGCAGTGCGTGGACAGGGGTGTGTGAGCTTCCACCATGGCCTGGTAGTCGGGCGGGGCCTCCTGCTTGATGTGCTGTGTGGTGGGGAGGCCACCATTCACATATGTGGCCTGTGGTCTGGGTGACCTGAAAGACAGTGGTCAGAGGGTATGTGAGAGGGTGGGTACTCTAAAGAGCATGGTCAAAAGCAGAGAACCTGGAGAAGCCCAGAGTCGGGAATCAAGGCTCAGGAGCGGACTAGACACTATCTGCTTGGCAAAGATGGGGCTGAGAGAAAACAAAGAGAGCTGGGGAGAGAGTGCAGGAAAGACAGGTGTTCAAGCCAAGAAAATGTGGTGAAAGTCATCAAGGAACACTGCTTCATCCTTTAACCGAAATCTGGCCACCAGTGATGTACCTATGACAGAACACTAATACAGCCAAAAAGAGCAATGGTGTTCTGATGCACCCACAGCATGGATGAACCTTGAAAGCTTTGTGCTGAGGGAAATGTCTGTCAGCAAAGAACAAGTACTGTAAGCTCTCACTTCTAAAAACAAGTACATCTATAGAAACCAAAATCTACTAATGACTATCAACAGTTTTTGCTTAGAGGTCTATAAGTTTATGGTATGGAATAATTTATGTGTGTGTGTGTGTGTGTGTGTGTGTGTGTGTGTGTGTGTGTGTGTGTGTGTGTGTGTGTGTGTGTGTGTCTAAAATGGTCATGTAACAAGAAGAATAAGAGAGGTCTGTTGGTCTAGTGGTAAGAAACTATGCTGCAATCCCAAAGGCAAGAAGTGCAAATCCACTAGTCACTCCATGGGAGAAGGATGGGCAATCTGCTCCCGTGCAATTTGCTGCCTCTGACAACTCAACAGAGGGGCAGCTCTGGGTCAATTCCGATTAGATGACACACAAGAAGAAGGAGAGTGCAATCAATGTCCTTAAATCAAATGAAGAAATTATTGAGTTGGTGAATGGTTATATAAGCATTCACTATAATAATTTAAATTTTAAAAATCCAGCCATTTGCGCCATACTATACTGTCTCCACGGTCTGACCTCTTTCCTCACACATTCACACTAGAAAATTCTGCGGGAAAAAGACAATGCCTCCAGAGGGACATCCAGACACAGCTTGTTCTAAATACCCAGTGGTAAGGATTTGCACTGCCAACTGAAGGCAGAGGTTTAAATCCACCAGATTCTCTGCAGGAGAACAATGGGCAAACTCTTATTCAATTTACAGCCACTGAAAACCTCTTGGAGGATCGGCTATGAGTTGGTTCAGACTCTCAGCAACAATGTCCTTTAATTTCTGTAACTCTTCGCCCCACTTATGAGACTGTTACTTTTGTGAGGTCTACCTCTAGTTTTCTACTGTTAATGTCATTGTGTTGGGGGATTTGGAGGATGAGAAGAATCTTTAAATAACTGCGGAAAAACGTCTCAGGGGAATGTCTTAGAATGTGAAGTCCCAACACTGTGAAACAGTTACTGCATGAAACCACAATTTTGGAGAAATGTTGGGGTGGGGATGGAGGACAGGTCAGTCAGGACAGCAACTGGGTGGCAGGAGACCCGGGCTCCAGGTCAGACTCAGCTGCATCAAAGGGCACAAACTCGTGCAAGTTACATTATCTCTGTGAGACTTTCTCCTCTGGCACATTATTGGGATACTTTTTACCAGAGTGAGGATGGTACAGGGCTGGGTTTTGTCACCTGTGTGGCATAATGGTTTCCAGACAGGGTCTTCTCATATAGGGGTCCTTTCTCATATAGGGGGCTTTTCTCATATAAGGAGCCCTTCTCTCTGCTAACTTCACAGAAGGCTTAAAGGAGTCAAGGTAATTCCTACACCTGTACTCTCACCATCACAGGTTGACTGAAGAGGGGACAAGCACTGCTAAAGACACTGACTCAGACTCATGACTGAGTTGGAAGAGACTCATGGCTGACCCTACCAATGGGTTTCCAAAGCTCTAAATCACAAGTTACATTTTCCTTCTTTCTCCCAAGGAGCAGAAGGTGAATTTGAACCACCAGAGAGGTGTGGGTTAGCAACTTCCTGTGGACTAAACTACCAGTAAAGCCACCAGGGTCTAGAAAGGCAATGGTGAGCTGAAGGGAGAAGCTCTCTGCTGGGTGGTTGGGCAGGAACAGACTGAAGAGGGGGCGGGGGCAAGACAGAACTAGTTAGGATACACCATGTTGACTTCATCCCTGCCTGAGTCTCAAAGTCCTCACCTGTGAAATGAAGATTAATCCTGTGTGAATAGTAACAAATTATGTATCATATTTAAATAAATGTGATTCCAAAACACTCAAATGGCTCATGAAAAACCAGCTCACACACAGACCAATGGTTTTACTTCAGGAAAAGACATGTGTCAGGGTTTCTCAGTGTGAGAAAAGATGGGCAATCTCCTCCTATGAGATTTACAGCTTCTGAAAACTGCTAGAGGGTCAGTTATAAGTCAGTTCCAGCTTGATGGCATGTAACAACAACATTGCTAAATAGTATACCAGGAACCGTGTTGATGAAGCTGTTAAGCATTACGCCACAAACCAAAAGGCTGGCTGTTCAAATCAGCTGCTCTGCAGAAAAAAAGATATGATGATATGCTCCAATGAAGACGACAGACTTGAATAGCCTATGAGATCTACTCTGTCCTATGGGGTCACTAAGAGTCAGAATCAACTCCAATAGCACACAGCAAAAAATATACTCAGGCTGAAATTGGAAACATACTTGGTCCTATAAATCAGGAATCTTGCCAATATTAAAAAAAGGCTATAGGGTATGTAAAACTTCAAAGAAAAACTTTAAAGAATGGTAAGCATCACTATCCTTCCATTTAATAATAACTCATATTGCAATGGCCCTGCTGGAATGTCAGTTTTATCAGGGGAGACCTTTCTTGCTTCATTAAAGCATTCCCAGTAGGCACAGAGTAGGTAGTTGGCAAGTGGCTGATCAATGAATGAACAGAAAGTTGGTAATGGGTCAGTTTTAGAAATTTCTGATTTGTGAAATAGATGTCAGTCAATCCAGCAGCCTCAAACAGCAGGGTTAGGGCGCTGGACACTTGGTGGGTGGGCACAGAGGCCTGTTTGTGTCTGATTTCAATCTCTTATCAAACCTCTGCAGAAAACATAGCACAGTATGCAACTGCATGAAAGTTAATGTAGAGGTGGGTGCTGTTAGAAATATGTAAGCAATTAATTGAGACCCCTTGAATTATTTCTTGAAATCTTAGACTTTATAGCTATAGATACGATCTTATTAGTAAATATGGTTTGACTAGACCAGATCAGACCACCACATTAGGACCAGACCATCTTGCTTCCTGGAGACCAGACCAGCCTACCTCGTGGAGACCAGAACTGGCCTGTAGCTGCCCTGTTGTCCTATACCAGGAGCACTGATACCACAGGAAAACCATTTCCTCCATGAACACCACCTTGGTACTACTGGCCCATCTCAGAGCCAGAATTTGAGCAGTGGACCCTTTGGACTCTGCATAACTGTGACAGTTGTCTGGTTGAGAAGGCTGCTAATTCACAGGAAACTTCTCTCCCTAACTGAAACAAGATTTCCCTTGAGTAAAAGATCAGAGAGAAATTCAGGCAGGATTAGCTGCCCTTCCCTCCTCTGGAACAGTTAGATCCTGAGCCAAGATTATCAGACCAAGGGCCTGCTGAGGCCCCAGGTATGAAAAACTCTATCACAGCAATGACATGGAAGAAGCAGACTATCTCACACCCTACACAAAACCAAATCAAAATGTCATCCCCCAAAAGTGATCAAAACACAGAATCAATGGGTTTCCTGGAGCCAGAAAGTCTGATAGAACTTTCTGACCCAGATTTAAAAAAACAGAAAGAGTGAATATTTTCAATGGGTGGAAAACAAACTCAAAGAATTACACGTGTCTGCAAGCAAAAGGCAAGAGGAACTTAAAAAGAAATCCAAGGTAATGCATATAAAACAAGGTATTAAATGCTCTGAAAAAAACAAGAAACAGCAATTCAGCGTACACAAGCTCAAGAAATATATGAACAGACTTGAAGATAGTACACAGACCAGCAAAATAGAAGATTGAATTCTCAGAACTGATCTGCTAGAACAAAAAGCAGAATCAAAAAGGAAGGAAAAAGAGGAAAGCCTAAGAATAATGTGGGACATCATCAAAAGGAATAGGATGCACATAATTGGAATCCCAGAACAGGAAAAAGCAAGTAAAGGCACTGAGAAAGCTGTGGAAGAATTATTGGAAGAAAAATTCCAAGCATAATGAAGATGGAGAGAATATACATACAAGAAGCTGAGCAAACTTCATATAGAATTGTTGTTGTTGTTGTGTACTAGTGGGTTTTCATAGGCAGTTAATCACTTGGGAGGAGATAGCTCATCCTTTTCCCATCAAATTGTTGGTGGATTTGAACTGCCTACCTTCGAGATCACAATGCAGCTTCTTGGCCACCACTAAGGCATATCATAATCAAATTTTCCAGCATCAAAGATAAGGAGAGAATTCCAAAAGCAGCTAGGGAGAAATGAAGAGTAACCTATAAAGGAGAGCAAATAAGACTAGGTGCTGATTTCTCAACAGAAACCATGTGAGTAAGAAGACAATGAAATGACATATATCAAACATTCAAAAGACTACAACTGTCAACCAAGAATATTTTACCCAGCAAAACTGCCCATCAAATATAATGGAGAGATCAAGATATTCTCAAAAAAGCAGAACCTAAGGGAGTTTGAAAAACAAGACCAGTGTTGCAGAAAATAATGAGAGAAGTCCTTCTTACAGAGATGCCACAGAAAGCAGGATGGACCAAAGTAACCAGCAACATCATCAAAAAGAACTTAACAAAATGACAGCAAAAACATCTTGCCTCTCAATAATTATACTGAATGTGAACGGTTTAAATACACCAGTGAAGAGAAAAAGAGTAGCAGATTGGATTTTAAAAAAAACAACAACCAGCCCAAACCCATAAACGTGTTGTCTACAAGAGTCACACCTGAAAAGTGAAGATAAAAAAGAGTAAAAATAAAAGGGTGGGGGTAAAATATACTGAACTAATGGCAACCAGAAAAAAGCAGGAGTAGCAATATTAATATCTGATAAAAAAGATTTAAGCATAAAAATCATCACAAGGGACAAGGAAGGTCCTATAAAATGCTTAAAGGGTAAATAGAACAAGAGGACATAACCATAATAAATATCTATGCACAAAATGATAGAGCTACAAAACACAAAACAAACATTAATAGAACTGAAAAGAGAAATAGACACTACCACAATAGTAGTAGGAGACTTCAATACACCACTCTCAAGAAGAAATAGAAATACCAGAAAGAAACTCAACAAAGATAATAAAGAATAAAACTATACAATAAAACAATTTGCTCTCATAGATATATACAGGCTAATGCACCCCCAAAAAGCACAGTATCACTTCTTCACCAATGTGCATGGAACAAAATCCAGAATAGATTATGTTCTAGGTTATAAAGCAAGTCTCAATAAATTTAAAGACATACAAATTATACAAAGCATCTTTTCAGACCACAATGCTACAAAATGAAAATTAATAACAAGAGGATAAAGGAGAAAAAAAATCCCCATACATTTGGAAGTTGAACAACACCATGCTTGAACATGAGTGGGTACTAGAAGAAACAAAAAAGGAAATAAAAAGTTATTTGGAACAAATGACAATGAAAATACAATTTACCAAAACCTCTGGGAAACAGCCAAAGCAGTAATTGTTGTTGTTGTTGTTTAATGCCGTCGAGTCGTAGACGACTCATAGCGAGCGACCCTATGAACGAACAGCCTGAGCACTGTTCATACATAGAGTTTACAGAGGCAAGCCATTTTGGAAGTGGATGCCGCTCCTGCTTCTAGAAAGCAGTAATTAGAGGTAAATTTATAGTAACAATCAAATGCATCAAAAGGGAAGAAAAAAAAATTCTTTAACCCAGCATCTCCAACAAGTTGAAAAAGAAGAGCAAGAAAACCCAACACCCTCTAAAAAAATTATAAAAATTAGGGCAGAAGTAAATGAAATAGAAAACAGAAAAGCAATTGAAACCATCAACAAGACCAAGAGTATGTTCTTCCTCATATGTCCACAAGTCAAGCAGATTAGGTAAAGTCCAGGGTCCCTGGGCCTTGTCCTTTAGGAAGCAGTGTCAGGAGACACCTGACAGGTGGGGATGGGCACATACCTGTTGTCAGAGTGTGGGAAATGCAGCAGCCTCTCGAAGGCCTGGGCATGACCACACGGTGGTGGGGTTCCCGAAGGAAGAAACAGGCCTGGGCGGCAGGTGGGGCCAGGACATTCAACAAGGTCCATGTCCAGCAGGTTCTTCTTCTCCGAGGCTGGGGTGCAGTGTCCATAGCTCCCATTCACTGAGCAGAGAAAAAGGAGAGAGAAAATGAGTGGAGGTGACCTGCAGAGGAGCACAGAGAGGCTGGTCCTGTGATACAGTGATACTGTGATACAGTGTGGATGGTATTCATATTAACCCAATATTAATTCAATTCCATGTACATCCAAAGTACCTGAGATACCATGTGTACTTCCCATGATCATTCAGCAGGATTAGCAATGAAATCTCTAAGCTTATGATGCTGATGCACAGGCTGCATTAATCATTATGCACAAATTATGTACCTGGCACTCTGGTTGTTGCTGTGAGGTGCCACTGAGTCAAATAAGACTCATGGTGATCCTATGAACAACAGATCTGAATCTTGTCCTATCTTGTATAATTCAACATGCTCCCTGATGTGTCTGAACCCACTGTTGTTATCACTGCGTCAATGTATCTTGTTGAATGTTTTTCTTTCTCTGAACCTCTATCTTTTCTAGAATGATGTGCTTTTACAAGGCTGGTCCCTCCTGACATGTCCAAAGTACGTGAGATGAAGTTTCCCCGTCCCTGCCTCTAAGAAGCACTCTAGTTGCACTTCTTTCAATTCATATCTGTTCGTTCTTTTGGCAGGCCAAGGGATATTCAGTACTCTTCCCCAACACCACAACTTAAAGGCATTGATTCTCTTTCTGTCATCACTATTCACAATCCCATGTCAGATGCATAGCAAGCAAATGAAAATACCATGGTTGGGGTCTAGCGCACCTTAGTATTTAAACTGACATCATTAGTCTTTACTATTTCTAGGTGCAGAGAAAACGGGTAAACAATACAGATAAACTCTTGGTCCCTTGGGGGTGACAGTGTATTATTCCCACATTGTGCTTATTTGAGATAATGCGAGAAAATACACTGGAGTTGGTGGCTTGAGAGTTGGTGATGCCCAGCAGGCTGAGCAATCTTAACTGAAACAACATATATTACATATATAGCACTCTTGTGGCCTAGTGGTAAGACACTGCACAGCCAATGCAAAGAGGCACATGGTTCAAATCCATCTGCTGCACTGTAGGAGAAAGATGGGCCATCTCCTCCTATGAGTTTTACAGCCTCTGGAAAATAGCTGGAAGGTCAGCTGTGAGATGGTTCTGAACAGACAGCACACAACAAGCAACAATACAGCAAGCAGTTCGTGCACATGTGAGCCCCTGGTTAGTGCCAATGGTTAGGTGCTAACCAGAAGGTAGAAGGTTCAAGACACCTTAGAAGAAAGGCCTGGTGATCTATGGGAAAAGTCGGCTATTGAAAACTCCTTGAAGCATTGTTCTACGCCTAGTTATTGTTTCTAAACTCTCTGGAGCATTGTTGTACTCTGACACACATGAGGTCACCTAGTTATTGTTTTAAAATGAGGTCACCTAGTTATTGTTTTAAAGTCACTGCCGTGCAGCCAGAACTAGCTCGTGGCTCATCTCCAGCAGGTTTTCAGAGGCTGTAATTCCAGGGCAGGAGATGGTGCATCTTTCTCCTGCTGAGACACTGGTGGATTTTAATTGCCAGAGAGGTTTTGGATTAACACCACCAGAGCTCTGCTACTGGTTAGCTACTTATTAAACAGCATTTGTTATCACCAAAGCTCAATCATCGTTGTTTTACAAATTGCACTCCTCCATAAACAGTACAGAGTTATCTATACCTGTGTTATCCTCCATGGCTCTTTGACATCCTAGTTACCTTTAGCTCTGCTTTGCTCAATTCCCTGGACCTTTATGAAAATTAACTAAGGCACAGTTGATATGAAAATATGAATTCTGCCTCACAGTGACCCTATACGATAGCACAGAAGGGCCCCAATGGGCTTCTGAGGCTGTAAACCTTTACAGGAGCCCACCATCACAGAAAGCAGGATTTCTCTCACAGAGGAGTGGCAGGTAGGTTTGAACTACTGACATTTTGGTTAACAGCCAACACTTGAGCCACTATACCATCAGGGCTTTTTGTTGATGTGAAAGCCTCTGAAAAACTATATAAAGTGTTATAAAAAGCAAGATATGGTTATTATAAGCCATTTCCCCCTTCTATAGAGGGGCTATAGAGTAAGGAGATTAATCTGGACACTACTTTTAAAAGCTGTTCTGCCCTGCTACCTCTCAGGGTTACCTGGTGGAGGACAGGCCACAGGCTTCCGGGCCTGATACACCTTCGGGTGAGAACCTCTGCCCCAAACTAACTCCACAACTCAGAGAAGTTTGTCCCTTACCTGGCCCTTCACTGCCCTGTGCAGTCACACCAATTCAGCATACATGCTGTGAGGCTCTGGGATTGAGTATAAAGTCCCCACACAGGACCGGCACCTTTGGTTGTTCAGGGAAGGATGTTGTTCTTATTATGAATCAGCACTTTGAAAAACATACACTGCTTTCCAGATGAAGAATAAACCTAAGTCTTTTCTAGGTACTCTCAAGACTGTTAGACATGGTGTTGGGGAAGAATGCTGACTATATCATGAACTGGCAAAAGAACAAACACAGATGTCTTGGAGAAAGTGCAACCAGAGTGTTCCTTGGGCATGTTGCTAGAAGGGGGTATTCCATGGAAAGGGATATCATGCCAGGAAAGGCAGAGGATCCACAAAAAGAGGGGTCTCATGAGATGGACTGACACACTGCAGCATGGGCTCAAGTGGGTCCCAAATGATGACAATGATGCTGATGACAGGGTTCCAATTTGTTGTTCATAGGGTTGCTATGAGTCATACACGACTGAATGGCACATAACAACAACAAGACTGAGCAAGACAAACCATTACATACAGAAAAGAGTGAATTCCAACATTACCACATCCCTGAATGCAACCATGACAACAATGACATCTGTTGAGGAGTAAGCACTGGCTCAGGACTAGTGATCTCCACAAATTAGCTCATTTGAGTTTGACCACTATCTCCTGAGGGACTTATTATTATCACCCCACTTTACAAAGGAGAAAACAGAGACCAGGGATGTGAAATGACACACCCCCAATTACACACTGAGTATGAGCAAAGCCCTCAGTCCACGCCTGGGGCCCAAGCCCCACATCCATCTTTTCTTTTCTTTTTTCTTCTCTGTTCTTTTTTCTTTTCTTTTCTTTTCCCTTCTTTTCTTTTTCTCTTCTTTCTTTCTTTCTTTCTTTCTTTCTTTCTTTCTTTCTTTCTTTCTTTCTTTCTTTCTTTCTTTCTTTCTTTCTTTCTTTCTTTCTTTCTTTC